GTAGGATTTCCCAATGTCAGCCACCTCAGCTATCTGTTGATGGTACATCCCATGCAGGGTCCTGTCTTGCCATGACACTTCTTCTGCTTGAACTTCTTCCCATGTTGCTGCTGCCTCAGGCATTCTCTCAGCAGCTCATCTTTGGATGCCAACTTACTGATGTACTCTTGGATGCTCTGGGTTTCATCCAGGACAATAGCTTTGACACTCACCAGACTCCACCTGCCCTCTTTCTGGCTAGTGTACAGTCTCTGGGCGTTAGACTTGGGGTGGAAACCTCCGTACATTGTGAGGAACTTCCAGGTCTTCACATCAGCAGCCTCCATGTCCTCCTTTGGCCAAGTCACTATACTGGCAGGGTACCTGATGACTGGCAGGACAGATATGTTTATGGCATAGATCTTGTTCTTCCCATTGGGCCAGCTGTTCAGGATCTGTCTTATCCTTTGATGGTACTTGGATGTTGCTGTCTTCCTTGCCTCCTCATCGTGGTTCCCATATGACTGTGGGATGCCAAGTAGCTGGTCTGAATGTCTGCTATGTGGCCCACTGGTATTTCCATCCCATCACTACCTTCCCTCTCTTTACTACCATCTGGCCACATTTCTCCAGTCTGGATAACATCCCACACTGTAGATCCGTGTCAGTTGGATCAGCAAGTCGATGTCTTGTTCACTCTTAGCACACAGTTTGATGTCATCCATGTAGAGGAGGTGGCTGATGGTAGTTCCATTCTTGAACTTGTAACTGTATCAGTCCTTGTGATTATCTGGCTGAGGGGTTCAAGCCTATGCAGAACAGCAATGGGAACAGTGCATTACCTTGGTATATGCCACACTTGGCCACTTGTGCGAGCTGTCTTGAGTTGACTTCCAGTGTTGTCTTTCACAGATCCATTGAGTTCTTGCGGAAGGTCCTTAGTGTCCTGTTGGCTTTGTATAGCGCCAGGCATTCATAGATCCATGTGTGTGGCATTGAGTCATAGGCTTTCTTGTAGTCAATCCAGGCTGCACTCAGATTGGTCTGTCTAGACCTTGAGTCTTGGATGACTGCTCTATCTATGAGCAATTGGTGTTTTGAGCCTCTGGTGTTGTTCCCAATGCTCTTTTGAGCTGTGCTCATGTGCTGACCCATATGGGCCTGTAGCTTGGCAGCTATGATGCCTGATAGGACTTTCCATGTTGTGGGGAGGCAGGTTATTGGCTGATAGTTGGACGGTGCTGTTCCCTTGTGGGGTCTTTCATGATCAGCATGTGTTAGCCAGTCTGGGTGGGAACCTGTTGCTAGCAGCTGGTTCATCTGTGCTGCTTCAGGGTTTATGTACTGCTGTTAGCTTCTAACATTCCAGTACGTATGGATCATGTCTGGGGCAGGTGCTGCCCAGCTCTTTAAGTTCTTGACCCACTGTTGGACATCTGCTACTGTGATGGAAACTGGTTGCTGTTCTGGGAGATTGCTGTGGTCAGGTCCTGCAGCCACTTTGCACTGGTGTTATGTGTCTTCTCTTTCTCCCATATGCTCTTCTGGTACTGTTCAGTTTCTGCTGTTGGTGGCTCTGCTGTTACTGTGTTGTTGTACTGCAGTTGGAAGTACATGTTGGATGGTTCTTTGGAGAAAAGGGCATTTATCTTCTTGGTTTCTGTTTCTCTACTGTATTTCCTTAGCCTGGAAGCCAGTGCTGTGAGCCTTTGTTTAGCAGTCTCTAGGGCTTCAGATGGAGTCAGGCCCTTGTATTTTTTCAGTAGCTGAGTCTTGTCCTTAATCTCCACACCCTTCTGTAGTTTCACCAGCTGACTAACTGCTCTCTGAGCTGCCTTGAACTTAGCCTCCAACCTATGTACTGCTGTTCTTCTTGATTGTGTAGCCAAGCATCTCCAGGATTACAGTGGCTGTAGTGGCTGTACCAGTTTATTGGTTTGAATGATGGTGGTAGTAGGATTGGCATGAGGGCATACTATCTGATAGTACTTCTCTACTGAGCCTTGGTAATCAATCTCAAAGGTTGACTGTAGCTAGTTTATCCATGATCTTATACCTTATATCAGCTGCTGGGCTCTGTAATGGAGGTGTGGCAGTGACATTCCAGCTTCAGGTGTTGACTGCACATCCAGTTTTTTCTTCTGGGTCTTCTTGAGTCACTGAAAGAGAGCTGTGAGTATGGGACTATATGACAGAAATGGATTTTCACACTTGCTATTTGTTATATCTTGTAGTGACAAGCTCTGCTGTTTCCCCACATTCTTCCATGGTTGAGTAATCCGAACATTCAGACAAAAAGAGTGTCTCACTATTGACTGTGCCTTCTGCCCTACATGATACAAAACTTGTTTTCTAGTCTAGGAATGGGATTTTGCTCAAATCAGATTAAAACAAGACTTTTTAAACTATATTTAATTAACAGGGGGAAAATCAGCAAAAATACAATGAAAGTATTTCACAGTTAATACAAACCATAGATCTTCCTTTGATTGTGCATTCTTCCACTTGCAGGGAGCTACTGGGCCAATGAATCTGCAATAAAATAGGGTTCCATTTAGAAGCTGGTATTAAATGCTAATACAATACTTGCTTTCAAAAGGTTTCTCATAATTCAGATGGTTATTATTGCTACAATGTCAGCATAGGCTCTAAACAATTGCATTCTAATGTTTGCCAGGTAAACTAGGCAAAATTGTACACCAAAGCATCCTTCCCTGCACAGAGCACATTGTACAATGAATGTGCAAACTTCTCTGTTTGCCATAAGTGCCGTAATCACAAAGACTTCCCTCCCTCCCTTGCATGGGTATTTAAGGCAACAGAAAAAAATTAGTGAAAACAAGAAGTATAAGCCTTAACATTCACACTACAATTAAAAAGTGCCATAAAAACCATTAAAAAGTTGAAAGAGTATGATTTTCAGTATCTGAAAAAACAATAGTCAAGTGAAAGTGTGTCCTGTCTTTCAAGACAAGGAGTTCTGTATTGAAGATACTACTTCAGAAAACAAAAGCCTTATCTTGAGTGTTAGTGCACTACTACCCAGTCTCATTTGGTGGCATACCACAGCTTCTGAAAAAGATGACAAAGTTCACAATGGAGGAGGCAGCCCTTCAAATAATCTGGCTCCCAACTCAGTTAGGACTTTATAGGCAAGACGCAACTTGAGACAACTTGGGACCAGTAGAACTAAAAAAAAAAAAATCACATTTCAGTTGAGCTCAACTCTTAGTGACTTACATGATGAAATAATTTATCAGTTTGTAAATTATGTTGCTATAGTCACCCTTCCCAAATGGATAACTCTTAAATGATAATAAATGATTTTATTATTCTCATAATTCAAACTGAGATCCCTTAAAAGCAATATTAATATTTTCTTTATGTGTTCATCTAATTCTGGACATGGATACTAAATGAATGAGCATGTAGCATGCAGGTGAGGAATATGGTGGTTTCCCTTCATGCCGTGATGAACTCTTAGTACAGTAGGAGCCATGCCAATTTACTCTTGTAGAATTTGCTAATAACTGATCAAAAAAGAATTGGACCTAACAGGCAAAAAAAAAAAAAAAAAAGAGGAAAAA